GGCAGAAGGGGAGATATCACAACTGTTTAGCACACGTTTGGTCAAAGGATGGGCTTCACTCGTCTCTTTGACGAGTTGTTGTATGGTGCTACGAATGGCGAGACTCAATGACGATGCTGACTACGATGCCGGCGAAACGTCTGGGAATGTACCATGTCTACGGTCCGACTTTGGAAATGATGATGCATACAATAGACTACGGACTACGTGCGTTCCTCTAAGTCATCGGTAGTCCAACTATTTTCTCATAGATATTGCCGTTAAATGTGAAATATGTTGTCATAATGGTCAGGTTGATTAGTCGTGTTAACGTCTCCTTTTGTATCCGTTCTGCCTGCCTGATGTCCTCTTCTCACTCTAATATCTCCAGCAATGCGCTTGCCGCCTTCTCGCCTAAGATGTTTGTGTACATGGATTGTACATCGAAACTCACCAACAGCTCCGACACCACTTACCCAATGTTCTTGATTCTTTAAGAAAATTCATATGAATTCTCAACGGTATTAGAGACTCTGTCATTTATTTTATTGAGCTTCAAGCAAATCAATTTCGCTAGTTATACATTGTTTTATGCTTGTTGTTGACTATTAGTCTTAGAGGATCTCCTTCCTTGTGTATCTCCGGTAGTTCGTAGGCTGTCGGTCGCCTTGCGTCATTTTTGATTAAAGAACTCATCCTCCATCTGTCAATTTCCCCATTATTATGCATTTCCTTTAGCATATTCTTCAGTGTCCCGTTGATCTTCGTGGTTTGATTCTTCCTTTGTATTTAACCAAAAGGATAGGCTTACTTGTCTCTTTGACGAGTTGTTGTATGGTGTTATGAATGGCAAGACTCACTAACGATGCCGACTACGATGTCGGCGAAACGTTTGGGAATGTACCAAGTTCAGGGTCCGACTTTCTACATGATTATGCATACAATGGACTCCGGACTACGTGCATTCCTCTAAGTCTTCCTACCAATATGACCAAGTTGCTAAAATAAGATTAAATAACCTCTATACAACTGCGACCACACCAAAGTCCACACCATCTTGGTCTTCATACTTTCGATTAACTTTATTATAGTTTAAACAACCTTAATACAAATTGAATGGATTTGTACGTCTCTAAAATGGCTTTATGCCCTGGCCTTTAATTAGATTACATCTCTTGATCCCATCCATAATACTTGCCGTCCATTCGACGAGCCAACAGGTTTTATTTGCCCCAGTCCGCCCATCATTGTTGTAGACTGTTGCTGTATTTGCATAGTCGTCTTGGGTTCTCTCCTGAATGACCAGTCCAATGGCTTTTTTCACCTTGCGAGCCCTTTTGCAGACCTCATGTGACTCCTCGCTGAGACGAAGAATGGCTGGCGCTCTTGATGGCATAAAGAATGGCGTATAAACGGGCGGAGAGATGGGACTGGGCGGACTGAGTCCAGCTTCCGTTATCCCGATCACGCGGAATATATATACAGCTGAGAAGTTTAATCTGAAGCAAAAGAGAGTAACCGAGATTCAAGGTCTTGAAATTTAAACATATATTCATATATTAACTACTAGTATATCTTATGCCACTTAGGAATAATGCAGCTTTTATTTAATGTATATTGAAACCTACTTAATATGTATATGAGTAATATAGTCCATTGTACTAGCAAATACAAATTGGCTTTAAAATGCCACTTAAAAATGCTACTTAAAAATGCCATATGGGAAAGGCCTAGCTTTCTTTGAAAATCATTTCTGCCCTGTGACTCAGATGGAGTCGTGGCATTCTGGTATCTTGATGAAATATCAAAAATAAACGCTGAACTACTTAGGTTCGAGTTCTGCTGGTGGTGCTGCTAAGAGCCCCGTGAGGTTGAAAATGCAGTCCAGTCAAATGTGGATGAGAATACTGCTTGCTGGGAAAAGCTAGAGGAAAGTTAGTTAGATCCTGTAGTTTACTCATATAATTAATGGAAAATTCAATTTATGCAACCTTGGGTAAAAGCTACTTTTTAAACGTTATTTCCAACTTATACAGTTATGCTTAGTACTTCACTGTACATATATCATTATATGTGGGCTTTGCAAATGAGTCTACTGAGGTTTGTAATTGGCGCTCATAAAAATGGATGTGCTGGGAGCTTAAACTTGTACCAAAAAATACGTGATTACATCTCTGAAAGCCCTACACTACTAAATTTATTTTTGGAAAAATCCATTTTATCCATCATATTACATATATGTTGATGGAAATTGACTGTCATGCATAAGATTTAATGTTTTAGTGAGGGTGGCTTCCTGCTTAAACTTATTCAAAATGTTCAAAATGAGGCAAAATCAAATGCTCCAAACTTTACTTAAATGATCCTCTAGCCCCATGTTAACCCAAATATTTATCATTAGTTTATAAGTAGGGTCTCAAGACTACCTGTATTTGCTCACTAACCCTTGAACAAGAAATCCATTTTCGTCACCTCTCTTTGGCCTCGGGAGCACGTTGATCCAGTCAACCTCGGCCGGTGTATCATAGTTACCTTTGTCACCAGTAGAACCGTCATCAGTTTTGCCATCTTTGCGACTATGGTGTTCAACTGTTGCCTTGTAACTTGATAGATGAGCAGCCTGCAGGAGGTATGAATTCACATGAGCCGAGTAAATTGGGGGCTCCAATTGAGAGTCATGCTCTATTTCGATCCAGGCACTTGTCAAGGCTTCCATTGGCAGCCTATCTTTTCTGTTTTCCTGTTGCGAAGTGTTGTTTCCAGGCCTCAGTTGATAGTCTGTTTGCTGCCAGGCTGCATTTGAGGGGTTCGGCCCCGGCCAGACTAGACGCCCAGACTTAAACAGGCACATTAATAACATGAAAACAGGGGAAAGATGAAATTGGTAAAGATTAAAAGAGACCTATTGAGCAGGAGTGAAGGAAATGGGAGCAGACAAGTCGAGATAAAACAAATCTACCTTGTTCGGCTTTTGGTGGTTAATGTTTGAGAGTATTTCACGGGTTGCTGGCCTCCAGGTTAGTAGGACGCTGGCAGTGATGAAGAAGGGTGTAGAGTCTCCAGATTCCTGCAGATGGAGTAGCTCTGACAGGAAATTAGAGCGTAACGCAGCTTCAGGGCTGTCTGGCCACACTCGAAGGGCATACGGCCGGCCAGGAGAACGCACTGGTGGAGCTTGAAGAACTGTCGACGCGATTTGGGCAGGAAGAATGTCCACCTAAATGCAAAGTGGTAAGCAACCGGATTTGGTGTTTTGGTAACTCGATTCAGAAAGGAGAATTATGCGGGTATACGTTTTTAGGTATGATTCTGAGTAGCTCTTTAATATTAACTTTGTATACTTTAAGTCGTTTGAGGTGATAAAGGACTTATAGCGAATTTTCATACTAATGAATTCAAATTATCCTTGCTTTCCAAAAGGTGGTATCACCCAAGGGGTACTTTAGTTTCGGATTCGTTGACTGGCACTCATGTAGAAATCGAAGGCTGTACTACCCAGGTTCAATTCACATTTGGGGTACTGATGAGACCAAGCCGAGGTCGAAACAGTAGTCCAGTCCAATTTGAATGAGAATAGCTTTTGGAGAGCAGGTTCAAGTGAAATGTAATGACATTCTGAGGCCTACTTATCTCATCGTGGAAAAATTCAGTAACAGTCCTTCATCACATTAAGCCACCTAGGGTTAGACAGGTTTCTCTATAAAATATGGTAATGATATTAAAGCCAGTTAGCGCGACTTGACCGGATTCGGCTCTCCAGCTTCACAGTTTTGGTCGTATTGGTTGAATTACAGCTGCCATACCACTAAAGTGATATCGGCCTGCAAGTATTTAGTACGAGAATGCTTTATAACTAACCGTAATTCTTGGATTCGTGTTTGACTAGAGTTTTAATTTAGCAAAAAAAGTGGGTTGAAAGGGATTTAAGTATTGCCCTACCGAAAATCGAAATTTAATTAAAATGAAGATTTCTGCATTATACGAAGAAGTCTTTGACTAAGACCAAGCCACGTGACACGTAGTCAATACAAACAATTAGAATGCACTGAAATACACTCCAAATAAACCCTTATAATTAAGTTTTGTCTTGAAATGAAGACTCGTGCCGCATTACATTATTAAGAGAATCCTCAAAAACCAGTTATTCTTAAGATATTCACAAATAAGAAGTCAACCGCTCTAGGTTGCTTAGGCTAAATCTGGGAATAGTAGTGGAGTTTTCCCCACAATGTTGCAATTATGCTTCACGATGCTATTAAAATTAATTTAGCCTTGCCTTCCAAAATGTCATTCTCATTTGGAATGGGCTGCAGTTCCGACACCCCCTCGATCCCATCCTCACCCCTAACGGGAATCTAACTCTGGCAGTGTGTGTAAAGTGGTTGGAATTCGCAACTACTCCCAACTTCCACGGATGTCACAGGATTTAGGGATGAGCTGATGAGTTTTCTTGACTCGTTAGCTTGAATATGGTTGTAAAGATACTGTCCTCCTCTGATGATGCCCATCCTATGACAGGTGAAAGCCAAGCACGTTTTCTCTGGAATCGAATGACATTGCCTCGGCAACAGCGTCAAAAATAATGTTCAAGTAAAGCCAATCGACAGCTGGTCGAAAGGAATCCCCCGTTGTCGGATTCCTCGAAACCAAACATTTATTCTCATGTACGACAGAAGTTGTAAATCTATCACTTCTTCCATTGTGTAGTGTGAACTGAGTAAAAATTATGGTTAAGATATTATCATACATGAGATATTTCACTTAGTAAGCAGCATATAGGCAAGATTGGGTGACTGGTGACACTTAACCCAAAAATCCCTTTGGCAGATATCTAAATATAGATGGGTTAATTAGGTATTAGAAAGTAACTACTCAAGTTAATGGTAGTTTTTCTATAAAAATCCAGAAGGTCGGATTAGAGGAATATTTGCTCTTCTAAACTTGCCTAAAAGTCACTTTGTCAGGACGATATGTGGGCGAATATGTTGGCAACCTTAAGCTTGAAGACGACAGATTTGGGTATTTACTCCCACTTAATAGGAGAATGGAGGACTATTAAAAGCTAATATCCCGTCAGTACTCATATGATTATGCCTCATTAGTGTATGGTTTAGGTGCGATGATGTTACTCAGAATAAACTGAGAACGAGGCCTTACTTGAGTTAGAAGTCAACGTTCCATGCCTCAGAAAAAGCGGTTTGAATCCTGAGTAGACTAAAACATTATATCCACTCGATCAATTCATCAGACCCCCAGAGGGATTCGAACCATGGCATTTAGAGTTCACGGGCCTGATTACGCATAGGTGCATACTAAGCCCAAGTTCCAGTCTATCTAAATTTACATTCTAGATCGAAACTTCTAAAATAATGAACAATCATGTATTTTCATTCTTAACCTGAGACTAAAGTATTCGGATCTCGCAGAGGGTAATGCTTAAGCGATTGGACTAGGTTGAAATTGCGGTGCCGCCTAAATAGAAATAGAGTAATGAGGAACTTTAAGATAAATATTTTAGACAATCTAAACAAGCAATGCGTTGTAATCAGTTTCTACTTTTAAGCTTTACTATTGAATGTCCCATTAGATGAAAGGAGGCGAAAATGACATATCCCCAAACAGGCTTATGCTACCCATTATCTTCAACAAGAGTTGAAGAAATTGATCTAAAATGATGAAAATAAAGATAATAACTAGTGAAAAATTTGTTTAATAAGCGGATGTACCTGAATGAGCTGGTCAGAACATGAGGAAGACACTTACCAGAATTCCGTTCAGATTTTGGCGGCTGGCATCACTTGTTGAATTTGCCTTCTCGGAAGTTGTCAGACGAACCGAATAAGTAGAGTATATCTCCAGCTGATCCAACTTGATCATCACGACCTCGGGCGTCTGATTGGCTCTCGATGTTGCCAATGTTATGGGTGGCAGATCGGCCTGACCTATACGTCGTAGACCAATTTTCGTGGAGCTCTTATCACAAGGCCATGGTCGCAAGGACTGTGAGTGCACCCGCTGCCAGGTCACAAAGAGCTGGTTTCGTGAGGTAGGCCCCAGGTTATCGTAGTCCTTTACCTTCGTTACTGGATCCGCAGTTACTCTTGAAGACCTTAAAGATGGATTCAATGAGTCATCTCTGACGGAACCGTAGGACTCGAACCAGCTGGGAGGGTTCCAGGAAAGAAGCATCTGACCCAAATCCTTCCTATCAATAGTACTGGTGAAATTTGCTCCTCGGTCATTGGGATCAACTTTGCTCTTTGATGTTATCACCTCTCTGAGCTGGAGCGATCCAAGATCTGAAATAAATATCAAGGTTGCATCATGTATCATTTTGATACATTTACCGATAGTATATACAGAGAGAGTTAAGTTATTATTTATGTCGTAATACCCTATTCACTTCATAGTTTTCTAATTTTCACTCGTAATGGTGTAAGATCTTA